CATTATAAATACCGCGGCAGGAGCCAATCTCTGTCAGTTGCTATTTCTCATTTAAAGCACTCGCAGCTGCCTAACCAAAGTAGGGTAAGAATGATGTTTTTCGGCCAGTAAAAAACACAGTAAATATCTAACAGCGTTGCCGGACGGAGCACAATAATAAATATTTAATTAGGGTGTTGTGGGGCGGGTATTGTACTATATGGCAACGCTGTAAAAGTATTATATGTAGCCCCTTTGATTTCCGGGTTATGCAATGGTGTATGTAGCGGTGTAGCCCCTTCAATCTGCGGGTTATGCAATGGTGTATGTTGCCCCTTCAACTCGTAGGTTATGCAACGACGCACATTGGTTCCGAGACCCGATCTAGGTGGCATTAATTCGAAAAAATGAATTTTGGAAAAATTAAAATTTGACACCACAGATTGATAGTGCATACTCTCGAGAGTAACTTGGCCAAATATCATGAAGATTGGATCACTAATAAGGAAATGATAAGCACCTAAAGGTGAGGCCGCGAGGTACTTTCGGGCGGACTCGCACCAGTTTTCAGTGTTTACTGTCAGGTCCTATGATTTGAAGTTCATCACACAGAAATAGATGCAAATGTGAAGTGTTCTGTTATGGTGTATCAAAAATATAAGGCATGTTAAAGGTTTATACGTTCTTACTATCTTTCAAAAACGTGTCTATACATCTAGACAAGCCGTTAGACAAAGCGTTATTTTCTACTAATTCCAAGCAAATGTTTACAAAAATGGCTCTAGATGAATGTCTTGCGCCGGTTCGCACGCATACAGACCTACTGTAGTAGTTAGTACTAACCCTAAACTTGATTTTAGTGCAATAAAATTCTGCGCATACTTGCGTCCCTGGGGGTTAGGGCACTTTGAATTTCCAAAACCGGCTTTCAAGAAATAAAGAATTGACACACTAAGGAGCTTACTGCAGACCTCAGATCCTTGCTAATATGTATACTGCATTTTTTATAGGTCATGTGGGTTCTCAAGTCTTCATAATCGTTAAGATGATTATTTTTTACATTGTCTATACCTCTAGAGAAGCCCATAGACTTACCACAGCTCCGGTTTTTTGACTGGAAATTTTACAATTATGACTCAAAATAAAGCCCCTGCGTAGGTTCGCACACGTGCAGACCGACTGTAGTAGTTAGTGCTGACCCTACACTTGATTTCGGAGCAAAAAAATTCTGCGCATACTTGCGTCCCTGGAGGTTAGCGCACTTTGAATTTCCAAAACCGGCCTTCGAGAAATGAAGAAAATTGACACACTGAGGAGTTTACTGCATTACTGCAGACTCCAAATCTTTGAGGACTGCATTTTTTGCACATCACGTGAGTTCTCAAATCCTCACAATCATTGGGATGATTATTTTTCACCTTGTCTATACCTGTAAAGAAGCCCATAGACTAAAGACAGTTCCCGTTTTTTGACTAGAAATTTTACAATTATGGCTCAAAATACAGAACACGTGGGTTCTTAAATCCTCTCAATCGTTTAGATAATTGTTTTTCACATTGTCTGTACCTTTAGAGAGGCCCATAGACATAGCACTGTTCCACAGAAAAGGAGCTTACTGCACTCCTCGCGCATTATTCCGTGATTGTATGAGTAAATGTCCTCTAACTTAACGACGAATGCTTATTTCTTTCTTGGTTCATGATTTCTTCGTGTTTTTATTCTCTCAGGTTTGTAAGGCTCTGAAATCATCGCAAGCTCACAACTTTGTTTAAAAAAGAAAAAAAGCAAGTGTGACACCTCACTCTTTTTGATACGCAATAAAATATTATACCGATGAATATTTTCCTGCTACAGACAGTAATCATTTTTCTTTCAAAATACTTTGTTATTAATTTTGGTTTCTGCTTTCCTTCATTGAGTGAATACCTATACTTCTTGTTCAAGTAAAATATTTATGTTACGTATGTTTAAATTGCCGCGTATAATGAATTTAAATATATTTTTTGAATTATAGACGAAGATCGAATCTTAATTCACAGTTATTCTGATAATATAATAATTCTGATAGCATAATTGTACCATTAAATTACGAAGCTTCAAAATTTCTGTTGGTTTTAAAGCGCGGCGAATCAAGAAATCAGCGAGCATTGAGGTTCAAATAAAGTTCTTCTTACGCTGATTTGTCAACACTGTATGAACAACTCGAATTGTGGGATAAGCAGTTTTCTTTGGTACTGGAATTTATTTTCCTCAGGGAAACCACAACATTTAGGAGGTATATTTTACCAGATAATACCAATTCCTGGTTCACAAAATTATACAACATTGCCCACCCCCCCCCATTAAAAAATTAGTAATTAGAGGACAAATTCTCGTAAATTCATCGATAGTTTTTGGTGATAAATCAAAAAAGGTTGAAAAATATATCAGTTCAGGAATTCAGCCATTTTAAAATATTATTAATCTAGTATTAAGTATGAATTTTCAAGCTAAATGCAAATTTACCACCTTATGCTAAAAGATACAGTCAAATTGACTTCAAATTCGTAATTAGCGACCCAAAGAACCCCTAGAAACATATATAATATGTCATCATCAGTGATATTCTAATTAATGCCACCTAGATCGGGCCCTGGAACCAATGTGCGACGGTGCAAACAAGGTGCACATAAATGAATGATTTAACTATCGGTGAAACTTGGCAACATTGAATTTTACAGTATTGCCAGATGGTGCAAGAAATTGAATAATTTTTCAGTACACTGTCATCAGATTGTGCAAAAAAATTCTGAATTTCGCATTTGTAAAATTTTCGCCGTCGATAGGCCATCTCATCCAGGATGGGTCTGGTATCGGGTATCGGAGAGTAGGGTCTGATTAAGGAATTTCAATTTTTAGTATGGCACGGCGGCGTGAATCGGACCTTGGGTTTTGGGATGAGCAATTGGGATTTGATAATGCAATGTTCTGTTTAATGAATCAAACATTTTTATTTTTTTTTGGTGATTATTTACTGTTACAGTTTAAAAAACGTTCGCGTTCAAAAACGTCCGAGTTTCGAGAACGTCCGCGTTTCAAGAACGTCCGCGTTTCAAGAACGTCCGCGTTTCAAGAACGTCCGCGTTTAAAAAACGCCCGCGTTTGAAAAACGTACGCGTTTGAAAAACGTACCTACGCGTTTAAGAAACGTCCGCGCTATTAAACGCTAGGGTTGTCAACCACAAACATCGATCCCTTCTCCTTCTCCGAACTTTAAATCGACACTCATGTCATCGACTTTCCGATTGTTATTCTCACGGGACGTCCTGGTGAAACGGAACTTGCAGTTGGATGATAGGTACTTGGAGTACAGGTAAGAAGCGGAACAAATGAGCGCCAGTAAACTGAAGATGAATAGAAGAACATCCGTCAAGGTAGAGGGTGCGCATTTGATTTCCGGATAGACCGGGCACATTATGATGTTTGCTTCGGATGAGTTTTCCACCACTGTGGAATTCACTCCAACAACAACTACGATGAAAGTGATGAGAATGATTTTATCGTTCATGCTTTCTCCCTAAAGATACTGAGAAGAGAATGCATACTATTTATACTAAATCCCTAGTGTCGATCGAACTGTTGTGAATCGCGTCCAGACCCAACCACTTGACAAAGGCCTGGTTTTCCTTACGACGCAGCATTTTCTCTTCAAGGAACGTATCCTTATAGTTGGTGCGATGGAAATCTTTGCGGTACAATTTTCCTTTGGTGATCGCCTTGTGCGCGTATTTTGTGATCGGAACGATCGGATTGACGCCGATCAATCAAAAGTTCCGTTCCTTGGCTTCCTTGGTAACCTTTGTTTGCTATCAGCTGATGTTTTATTTCAATTTCTTTTTTTCATTTTTTCATTTTTTCATTTTTTTTTGTTGTTGTTAATAAATCATTGCTAGGTTAGTTTTAATTTTTTGCCAGCATTTATTCTACCTCCCCCCCCCCCCNCCTCCCCCCCCCCCATCTCATTTTTCTAGCTCCATCACCCTCTCCCATCAACTCATTTTTCTATCGATTTTATCATCTTTTTTTATGGCATGTCTTCCTCCCCCACCACCATTTTTTCGGGGTTATAGATATTTTAGCGGCCTCTAGACCCGTGACTCCAGTCACGGGCATTTCGATAGTCTTCTATATTATACAGCTACAAGCAAAATCTTGGAAGCACTATTTCTGACGAACTACCGGACCAATAAGGATGATCTTTACATGGATGTAATCTGTAATATTATAGTTACCCGACCTATGTCGTCAATTCTTTCGTTCACGATAACTATCGTTAGATTTACGTTAGCCTATTCAAATTTTGTAATTTTGTCCATTTTGGTCTTATGAAGAACGGTATAAATTTTTGGTGAAATCGCTAACGGTAATTAACGTAAGTGCCTTACATACGCTGTTTTCCACTAATCTGTTTTTATGAAAGTTTCATTCCTTGGTTTCCTTGGTAACCTTTGTTTACTATCAGCTGATGTTTTATTTCAATTTATTTTTTTCTTTTTTTTCATTTTTTTCTTTTTTTTCATTTTTTTCTTTTTTTTCATTTTTTTCTTTTTTTTCATTTTTTTCATTTTTTTCTTTTTTTTCATTTTTTTCATTTTTTTCTTTCTTTTTTTTAAAATAAATCATTGCTAGGTTAGTTCTAATTTCTTTGCCACCATTTCTTCTCCCCCCCCCCCCC